CCACAGCATGGTTTGATAAGTGGTGTATAGGTCCACGCCTGGGACCTGAGCCTGCGAACCCTGGGCCACCGAAGCAAAGTGTACGAACTTAACCACTACGCCACCGGGCTGGCCCTTGCATATATTTTAACTCTTGAGTTTTTCTGGTTGTTGAAAGAAAATGATACTTTGTTTAGGTTTTTTATATAAGCTTGGTTTATTCATTCATTTCTCTATGATTTATTTTGTATCCTTATTCTTTATTATGTATCCTTCGTCAGTTAAAATATTTTACCAAAAGTTGATTGGAAAAGATTGTTGGTCTAGTTTTCTGCACTTTTTAAAAAAAATTACTTTAGCTCTTTATTTTTCTGAGGCTTTGTTTCTAAGACCTTTGTCTGATGAGTTGGGCACAGTAGCTATTCAGTAACTGTTTTCCATTGGTGAGGAAAGATGATTAAGATGCCAGCTTCCCCAAAAGAGGGCTGTTTGTTCTTGTCTCCGCCCTGATTGTGCTACTTTTCTCCATGAGTAGGTTCACGGGACTGCCCCGGACATTGCAGGCAAGGACATGGCCAATCCCACCGCCCTCCTGCTCAGTGCTGTGATGATGCTGCGCCATATGGGACTTTTTGACCACGCTGCAAGAATTGAGGCTGCATGTTTTGCTACAATTAAGGATGGAAAGGTATCAGTCATCTTGCCATGCTTGTGCTGAATAAGGTGCATTTCTTCCATGTATTTTAGCTTTGTGAAGGGAACAGGTGATAGTTCTCAAGAGGGCCGAAGGATTTGATGTTGAACAGGCATTCTTACTGTGGGCTCCCTGAGTGAACTCAGAGTTTGTGTGCATACGTGTGTGCATTTTCTGAAGGGAGGATCCATGTGTTTCATCAGAAGAGGGTTGAGGAGCACTGAGATAGAGACATCAGTGTGCAGTGGGAAGAGCTGTGGTTTGGGAGTCAGAGCCAGTTCCAGCCTAGTTAGCCTGTTGTTAGCCGTGTGATCCTGGCCACATCCGTGAACTCTAGGCGGCTTTTTCCTCCTCCCCACAAACATCTATTGTGTACACTATAAGGTATGAAGAATGTAATAAAATGAAGAATAAGCTAAGGTCTCAGGCCTCAGGGAGATCAGAACCTAGCAGTAGATAGAGGTGCAGATGTGTCTATAATACAGTGGTGTTATATGTTATACTCTGTGCTCTATAATACAGAAGTAATACAGAAGTTTAAAAAAGTAATAATAGTGGCTAATATTAATTGAATACTTACATGATTTTATGTTTTTTATGTGTATCATCTCAGAAAATTTTCTCTACTACTCTGTGAAGTGGGTATTGTAATTAATCCCATTTTATAGATGAGGGAAGTGAGGCACAGAGAGATTAAGTAATTTGTCCAAAGTCTGACAGCTTCTAAATGGCAAAGTTGGGTTCACACTCAGTCTGGTTCTTACTCAACAAGCTTCACTGTTTCCCTAAGCAGTTGTGGCCCACAGAAGGAGTGTGATGGATTATTCTGAAAATAGGAGGAGAATGGAGGGGGTCATGGCTTCACAAGGCTGAACCTTAAAGGTTGATTCCAAATCTGAGGTCTCTCTCTCTTTTTTTAATTGTGGTAAAATATACATAATATAACATTGACCATTTTAACCATTTTTAAGTGTACAGTCCAGTGGTGTTAAGTACTTTCACATTGTTGTGCAACCATCACCACCATCCGTCTTCAGATTTTTTCATTTTCCTAAACTGCAGCTCTGTTTCCATTAAACAGTAGCTCCCTATTTCTTGCCCTTCCCCCAGCACCTGGCACCCACCATTCTACTTTCTGTCTCCATGAATTTGACTACTCTAGGTACCTCATATAAGTGGAATCATATAATATTTGTCCTTTTGTGACTGGCTCATTTCATTCAGCATAATATTTTCAAGGTTGGCTATTTCTTTTTAAAAAATTCTATAATTTGAAATTACTTCTTATGGCCAAAATACAAGAAATCCAAGCTTGTTTTTAACAGCCTGATAGTCATATTGAAGGGCATATGACTTTGTGTTTTATTCTGATGGTACATTTGAGAATCTGCACTACAGAGCACAGCAGAAAGATGCCTAAATTACATAGTAGACCCTTTTAATTGTGTAGGATGCAGTGAGACAGGAGAATTAAATACATTGAGATCTGTTGGGGAGTAAAGAGAGGATAAGCTGGAGAAAACAGAGTGGCTGTATGGGAGAATTTCTTTCCTGAAGAGAGGAGTTTAAGAGTTAGTGATTTAGGGGGCCGGCTGCGTGGCTTAGCGGTTAAGTGGGCACACTCTGCTACTGGTGGCCTGGGTTCGGATCCAGGCGCGCACCGATGCACCGCTTGTCTGGCCATGCTGAGGCAGTGTCCCACATACAGCAACTAATAATGATGTGCAACTATGACATACAACTATCTACTGGGGCTTTGGGGAGAAAAAGAGAAAAAAAGGAGGAGGATTGGCAATAGATGTTAGCTCAGGGCCGGTCTTCCTCAGCAAAAAGAGGAGGATTGGCATGGATGTTAGCTCAGGG